GCCTCCAGGGGAGGATGAGGAGGGTTCAGGCTTTGGGGGGAGCGTGAGCTAAAAGCCAGTAATCACACTGCAGACTCCCGCCTTTTTCTTCTCTCCAGCCCCTTCTTCCTTCAGCAAAATGTATGACTCAGAGTGACTTGCAGGGGGCACTTGAGAGAGGGACCCCATGTGTCTGTCCCTGGTTGAGCCTGTGTACAGTACCCGAGGGGCGGGCGGCTGTGTCTATACGTATGTGTACATATGCACATAGACCTTAGAGTGTATATTTAACAAACGCCCATCTGCTCGCCCTTGCCCACCAGCGCCACCGCTGGCTCTCGGGGCACCTGGCAGGAGGCGGGTGTGTGAATAGCATATATTTTTACATGTACTATATCTAGGTGTGTGTACAAGTGTGTGTAAAAATATATACCTTGTGTGTAAGCAGCCCTCTTTTTTTGGTCTCCCACCTGCCCAGCCTCTGGGTTTTCTGTTCTGTTCTGTTTTTTTTGACCCCAACCATCCTCCTCTCCTCTGCCCCCCAGCCCCACTCCCAGGGTGTCACAAGCCCTGAGCTGCAATGGCCCGGGCCTGCAGGGCGGGGAGGGCAGGGGGAGGGCGAGGCCCAGCCCGCAGCGAGCTCAGCGCACGAGGGCTACTCTGCTCTGTACAGACTACAGCACTGGAGAGTCCTCGCGTCTGGCACTTGCTGTAGGGGGCCCCAGGTGAACCAAGGGCCTGCTCTGGGCCCCATTCCAGCTTGGCCGCCGTCTGTGACCTTGGGCAAGTCACTTGACCTCTGTGTGCCTCAACTTCCTCCTCTGTAAAATGGGGACAGTCCCTGCCCCTCCCTACCTCACAGGCATGTTGTGAGAATAAATGAGGTAACGTGTACACCAAGGGCTCATGGTGTTATTGCGGTGGGAAGGGTCCGCCTGGGGTGAGGCGTGTGGAGTGGACTGTCCCGGAGACCGAGCTAGACCCCTTCCAAATGGCAGCGCTATGGGACAGGCTGACCGGATCGCCGACCGCGATCCCAGCTCCATCAGTGGAAAACGTGTGCAACATCTACCTTACCAGCTTCCTCTGAGAAATAAATGCTTAATAGCTGCTGTACAGGAGCCAAGACGGGCTGCCCTTGCTGACCGACCCCGACTCCGCACGCCTCCTGGGACCGGGCACCCAGTACCCACTCCGGCAGCCGCCCTGACAGGCACATGCTCCGAGTCCACTTCCTGAGCAGCTGCTCCACCAGGCCCGGCGCCTGCAGGTCGTTGAGAGCTCATGCTCTCGTGGGGGAGACGGACACCGGACACGTCATAGATGAGTTCGAGTCTACACGAGGTGGTAGAAAAGACGATACAGCGCAGGGAGGCTGTGGGAACCCTGACAGCACCGCCTAACTTGGTCTGGGCAGGAGCATTCTTGTCAAGCCCGGAGGATGGTGGGTATTAACCAGCTTTGGTGGCTGGCGGTGGCGTGCAGGGGAGAACCTGCAGAAAGTACATTCTAGGCAGAAGGAACAGGAGGTTCCAATGCCACGTGGTAACAACGTGCCCTTTTTAGAAAGTTCTTGGCCCAAGCTGAGCTGCAGACACCTGGTTTCCTCCGAGTGACCTCGAGCCCAGGGGATGCAAAGAACCACCTTCCCCGGAGCTTTGTTTAGCTGCCTACCCTTCCCCAGTGGGGCCCCTCAGAGCTCACCCCAACCCTGTGGGTCAGACCCCCTGCCCTTGGGGCAGCTTGCTCTCATCTCTGAACCCTGTTAGTGACAGCTGAGTGTCCAGTGACCATGGTGGCTCTTCCTGGGCCTGTCTCTTCCCTGTGACCAGGCTGAGGGGGACATGAAGAGGTTTTTGGTTGTCTTGGGCACTGAGCCAGACAGGTGTGAGTGAATACAGGAGGTGGCCAGGCTGGATGTAAGAGCCACTATCCAGATAGCATCCCAGCTCTGCCCCCGACTGGCCTTGTGGGACTGAGGTGTGGACCGTTACCTTTTTGAGCCTGTGCGTTTCTGCCGCAGCAGCAGAGGGCGCTGAAGGTTAGGTCAGAGTCATAGGGGGAGAGCCTGCTCTCCCTGCATCAGCGTAGAGGGGAGGGAAGCATCTCATGTGCAGAATCTGGGCCCCGCCCCCAGCTCTACTGGCACAGCAGTGGAGGGATCCCCTATCCCGAGTTGAAAGAGTAATAAAATGAACACCACACCCTGTCCTTTACCCAGAATCACCAATTGTCAACATTTCACCATATTTGCATTATGCCCTTCAGATAACAAACTTTTCTCAGCCATTTGAGGGTAAGCGGCATATACTATGCTACTTCATCCCCATATACACCACGCCACTCCTAAGAATAAGAACATGCCTGCATGACCACAATCCCCTTATCACCTCTAATTTAACAAACAAGTGGTCTGGAGCACCTCCCTCTCCCAGCCCAGACACGAACACCAGCTGAAGCACAGCCACACTCCAAATGCCCCAGTAACGTGCTCCGTGGCAGGGGTCCTCAACCCCCAGGCCATAGACAGTACTGGTCCCTGGCCTGTTAGAAACTGGGCTGCACAGCAGGAGGTGAGCGGCAGGCGAGCGAGCGAAGTTTCATTTGTATTTGCAGCCGCTCCCCAGCACTAGCATCACCGCCTCAGCTCCGCCTCAGATCATCAGGCATTAGATTCTCATAGGAGCACCAGTGCCTGGAGAAGAAAAAGTCAGGGACTGCTGCTCTACAGCTTTTCCTTTGTAGCCATCCAGGACCCTATTAAAGACCATTCATCACTTTCAGTTATCATGTCTCTTCAGCCTCACTGAATCAAAAACAGTTCCCCCAGATTCTTGTTTTTCAGGATATTGACAATTTTTAAGTGTCCAAGCATCTTGTCAAATGTAAAATTTGGATTTATGTTTTCTAATGACTAGATTCAGATTGAACAGTTTGAACAAGAATATGACTCAGATGGTGTCCCATCTCTTAGTTCTATCAGGGAGACATTTGTCACTTCCCACAGAAGCCTAGAATGAGTCCTCAGCTTCTGCGGTTCCAAAGCCCCAGTCCTTGAGGGAACAGAAAGGACCAGGACAGAGAGACAGGAAGTATCCTGAAGGCTACAGGGTACTGAGGAGGAGGCAGAGGGAGCAGGAGATTCTACACTGTCCTTGGGTCCCCGAGAACCATCCACAGGGCTGTGGATCAGAGAGCAGGGAGGCCCAGGTTCCTTCTCTAAACCCCCTGTTCCCCCAGAGTTGTGGGTCCCCAAGCCTAGCGGAGTCCACATGAATTAGAGACCTAACTTAAAAGCTAAAACTGTAAAACTCTTAGAATAAAACATAGGTGTAAGTCTTCATGACCTTGGACGAGGCAATGGTTTCTTGGATATGTTACCAAAAGCATTAGGCCAAAGAAAAAGTAAACCATCAAATTTAAAAACACTTGCACTTCTTGAGACTATCAAGAAAATTAAACCATAACCCACAGAATGAGAGAAGATATTTGCAAACCATATATCTGGTCAGGGTATAATTAGCTAGAATATATAAAGCACCTTTGCAACTCAACAATAACAAAAATGACCAAATTTAAAAACAGGCAAAACATCTGATTATTTCTTTGAAGAAGATATACAAATGTCCGATAAACACATGAAAAGATGTTCAACATAACTAGTCATTAGAGAAATGCTAATCAAAAGTGCTAGGATGGCTAGAAGGCAGGGTTAATGAGGATGTGGAGAAACGGAAACCCTCATACAATACAGGTGAGAATGTCAAATGGTGCAGCATCGTGAAAAAGAATTTGGAAGTCCCTCAAAAAATTAAACACTTCAAAACTTACTTGATTTTGTTAATGTCACCCCCCAACAATTTTTAATAAAAAAATTTAAACCAGAGTTACTAAATGACCCAGCCATTCTACTCCTATATATAAATATACATCCAAAAAAGATGGAAACAAACACATCCACACATGAACTTGTACACCAGTATCCATAGCAGCAGCATATATAATGGCCAAAAAGTGGAAACAACTCAAACGTCCAACTGATGAATACATAAAATGTGGTATATCAATAGAATGGAATAGTATTCAGCAATAAAAAGAATGAAGTGCTGATGCATGCTACACCGTGGTGAATCTTGACAATGTTATGCTAAGTGAAAAGCCAGTCACAAAAGACCACATATTGTATGTTTCCATTTATATTAAATTTCCAGCATAAACAAATCCAGAGACAGAAGGTAGATTAGTGTTTGCGGAAAAGCGGGTAGAGAGTGACTGCTAATGAGTTGGGAGATTTTTCTAGGAGTGATGAAAATGTTCTAGAATTAAAGTGGTGATGGTTGAATAACTGAATATTCTAAAACCACTGAATTGTACACTTGAAAAGGGTAAAGTTTATGGTATGTAAATTATACAAATTTTGTTTTAATTTTAAAACGGAAAAGTGCACAGAAAAGGAGAATTTTGCAAATCATACCTGATAAGGGATTAATATCTGGAATATGTAAAGAACTCTTAAAACTCAAAAACAAACAAAAAATCTGATTTTTTTTAAATAAGCAAAGAATTGGAATAGACATTTCTCCAAAGAAGATGGAGATAAGCACATGAAAAAGATACTTCATATTAGTTATTAAGGAAATGCAAATTAAAGCCACAATGAAATACTACTTTACACCCATTAGGATAGCTCTTATTAAAAAAAAAAGAAGAAAAACAGAAAATAAGTGTTGGCAAGGATGTGGAGAAATTGGGAAGCCTTGTACACTGTTGATGGGAATGTAAAATGATACAGCTTCTGTGGAATACAATATGGCAGTTCCTTGAATCTAAAATAGAATTACCAAACGATCAATTCTACTTCTGGGTATATACTCCAAAGAATCAAAAGGAGGTAGTCAAAAGATCTTTGTACACCTATGTTCACAGCAGCATTATTCATGAGAGCCAAAAGGTGGAAAGAAGCCAAATATCCATCAACAGATGAGTGGATAAGCAAAATATGGTCTCTCCATACAATGGAATATTAGCCTTAAAAAGGAAAAAAATTCTGACATATGCTACAAGACCGATGAAAGCTGAGGGCGTTATGCTAAGGGAAATAAGACAGTCACGAAAGGAAAGATACTGCGTGATTCCACTTACATGAGGTACCTAGAGTAGTCAGGATCATAGAGACAGAAAGTAGAATGGTGGTTGCCCAGTGGTTGACGGAAGAGACTAGGGAGTTACTATCTAACAGGCACAGAATTTCAGTTGGGGAAGATGAACAGTTTCTGGGTGGATGGTGGTGATGGTTGTACAATAATGTGAATGTACTTAATGCCACTGAATTATACACTCAAAAATGGATAAAATGGTCAATTTTATGTTCTGTTTTGTTTTTTTACCATACACATGCACACACAATAGCACACATGGTGGGGGGGGGGCGCGTTGCAGAGAACATCATAAAGCCAAATGTTAACAATTGGAGAATCTGGATGAAGGTATACAGGAGCTCTCTGTACAGTTTTTATGACTTCATTGTAAGTTTGAAATTATTTCAAAATAAAAAGGTTTTAAAAAATAGTCCAAAATAGAACTTCTCATCTCTGCCCAAACCTACTTCCGTAGCTAACCTATCTTGGAAAATGGCAGCTCTGCTTCTCCACTTGCTGAGGCCAAAGCCCTTGGAGTCATCCTTGACTCTTTCACACGTGTTCTGATCTATGCACAAACCCTATTGGATACTCCTTCAGAATACTTCCAGAATTCCCCCTTCTCCCCACCTCCATGCTCCCACACTAACCGGAACACATCATCTTGCTGAGGCGCTCCCACTGGGCTCCCTGCTTCCACTCTTGGCCCTTTCGGTCGGTTTTCAACACAATACCCAGAGGGATTCAGTGAAAACATACGCCTCATCATATCACCCTTCTGCTGAGAACTCTCATGTCTTGGGGTGGCATACAAGGACCCACAGGCTAGGTCCCTGCTGATTCAGCCCTTATCTCCAGCCCCTCTCCCCCCACTCCCTCTCCATGGTCACACTGGCCACTGCTGCCTTGACAAGGAGCTGGGCGAGCTCCCCCTACAGGTCTTGTGAACCACTCACTCACTCACTGGGCCCGGCTTTCCGTCAGGTCTGCCCAAATGTCACTTCCAGGAGGCACCCCACCACCACCTGTTACTCTCTCCCCTCGCCCTGCTTTGTTCTCCTTTAAGGCACTTATTTCTATCCTCCAAGCCGTGTAGCTACTTTTTCATGGTATTTCCCTCTACAAGACACTTTCTGCGTGTGACGTCAGTTCACTGCTATTTCCCCAGCACCCAGCACAGTGCCAGGCAGGTAGTAGGTGTCAGTTAACATTTACAACGTAATTGGATGTTGGAAAGTTCCCTTGAGAATCTCTGTGTTGAACAAAAAGGGGCTGGGAAAGAAAGCTGGGCTGGGGTCCAGGTAGGGGCTCAGGGTGAGGGGTTCCTTTAGGGGTCAAAATGATAGGATCTGATGCCTGACTGGGGAATTGGGAGAGTCTGTCCTCCCAGACTCCATCCTCCGATGCGATCCAACAAGAAGGGGATAGACGAGCTGCCACCGCGAGGACCCACCCGTGGTCCCCTACCCCTCCCGCTGGTTCTGCGGTGCCACGTCGCTCTTTTTGGCCGCGCTTTCACAGAATCCTCACCACCACCCTCCCATTTTACAGGTGAGGAAACAGGGCAACTGTAAAGATGACTTGGCCTAGGTGGACCTTCCCCAGCGTGGTCCTACCCAATCCCCATGTACGCCCCACACCGGCAGGGGCCGGTCTGGTGGCCCTTCGCGTGAGGACAGCAGGTCCTCTGACGCGTCTCTTCTCTCGGACTGGAAAAAAGCCGTACTTGGCCTGGTGGGAAGAAGCCTTCCCTGGGGAACTGGCGCGGGGCAGCGGGGCCTTGGAGGGAAAGCTGGGGGTAGGGTCTGAGAACTGGGCCTGCCTCGCTGGCGAGGAAGGGACGGCACAGAAAAATCCCCCTCCCCAGGCTGTTCGGGCCCCCCACTCACCCTATCGCCTCCCCCTCCCTGCAATGCGGGAGGCCCCCATCATAGCTAGGGGTTCACCAGGAGCACCCCCACCTCCCAGCCCGTGGGTGGAGGCCAAATAAGGCCGAGCTGGTTGCCGAGGCCCCGCCCCGCGTCGCACACATTCTTCTGCCTTGTAAGGCCGGGCGCTGCGCCCCGCCCCCGCCCCCGCCCAGCTCCTACCCGACGGCCCGCTCCGCACAGGCTCCGCACCCGGCTCCACGCACCGAACGAGCGCCTTCTCAGAACCAGGTGGGAGCCGCGACGGGCCCAGATGGTTTAGAGTAGGCGGTGTGACGGCTGGGGCTGGGACTTGGGACAGACCCCAAAGACAGGGCTGTCAGAGGGTCTCTGGGCAGGGACAGCTGTCGTGGGGCTGGGGCTGAGAGGTGGCTCGGGTCCCACACGGATTCTGGTTGGGGCCAGGCAGCAGGGAGCCTGTTCCTGGCTCTGAGAACCAGTGGTCCTTTGGCGAGAGAAGAGTGTCCAGACTCTACCCCTTTGCTGTGGAGTTAGGGACGCCAAGCCCAGAGCTCCTGGGTGCCCTGGAGGAAGGGAGGGGGTTGTAGTCGCAGGTGTTCTCTGTCCCATGTGTATCACAAACATGAAACTAAGCCCTGTTAGGCTCCTTGAGACCCCTCCAGAGCATCCGTGTCCCCTCCCCCACCTCCTGGGGCAGGAGAGAAGGTTGGATGGGTAACCGTGCCCACACCGTGGAGCTGTGTGCAGTGCACTAGGGGCTTCCCAGGTCTGGGCCATCGGCCCATCTGTGCCTGCTGGGTAGGGAA